GRMYWAMTWWYATTTTTWWTTWWTTTWWTKTWWTTTTWAAAWWAWTAWTWWTWWTTTTWWTTTTTTTCTCCTCGGGTTACAATACTATTGTGCAGTGATTTTGAAATGCAAAATGTAAATATTTARTTYTGGAAATGCTTCATTTCTGCAAGAGAAAGTCACTAAATTCRCCAAAAGTTTGCACTGTAATTTGCCTTCTCTGGGTCTATTTACTCTTAAAATGTCTTCAAAATCAGCCTTAAATACTTAATATTCATCATGAAGAAAGGAATTTGGATTACCATATACTCCACCTGTGAATACAAGAATAGCAGTCCTCCTTTTCCTCAAAAAAGGCTTTTCCTTGAACGGAGCCATCRMAGTGAGGTTTATCCTGATTAAATTSTCCCACTTACATGGTCCTAATGCACAATTAACCATCCATTCCTTGATCTGTTTGTCAACTCTTTCATATTCTTCTCCAGTCATTTTAAAAGTAATTTTGATCTGTTTTCATCCAGAACAGATCAGAGGGGCACACGGTGAGTTTTGGTTTGCCTTGGCTTGGGGATTGTTTARCTGGGTGGCAGCCACAGAAAATCATCTCCAAAGCACAGGAAACTGCCCTGCTTTCATGACTTTGCAGCGATCAAAATGCTATCTTTTTTCTTTCTAAAAATCTCCAACAAAGCTGTCACCAAATAAATCTTCCTCCCCTGCAGGAAATGCTCCCCTTGTGCATCTGACAGCTGCATAAAACTTCCTGTTCATTGATGGCACAGAGCTCCCAGCAAYTAGAAATCATTAACCAGTTCTTTTATTACTGCCCAGAACAGGAGCCAAGAGCATTCCAATATCGACAGCTCAGGAGCAGATCTCTGCTGCTCTGTATTTTCATCTGCTTTTGCTTTTTCTGTGTGAATTTAAGGTGAGGGTTTCCATCTGGCTGCTGCTGCTGTCCAGGTTTGTTCAGCAGAGCAGGAGGGATGAGCAGCAAAACCCCCTGGGCAGCAGGAGRAAGGGAGGAGAGCAGGAACTGCAGGAGAAAGAGAATTAAGCACCAGTCCAGTGGGATTCTGACAGTTTGGAATAAAATAGAAATGAAGCTTTGACTCAGCTTTGCTGCTTCTCTCCCGAGAGGATGGCTGGGGTGAATCATGGGGTCTTTCAGATGAGGGAACCCAATGTTTGTAGGGTTTGATGGATCCTGGATCACAGGCAGGGAGAGCTGTGGGAGCCACCTGAATCCCAGATCCACAGGGTTTGGTTCTACCCCTGGAACTGCATTTCTAAAACCCTCTGAGTGACCCGTCTGAGGCTCACACTCTCAGTTCAATATAAATAGGTTTCAAAAAAATCAGAGGCAGTGCAGTGACTGATGTTGTTACACACCKGGGGTTTCTACATCTGACAGAGCCCAAAATAAGGCACTGGTAACCCTGAACTCCTCATCCCTGGTGTGAAATCCCTTATGAAACCCATAATCTTTGGGACAGACATGAACTGGACAGGGTTCAGAGGRAAAATCACCCCAGCACCACAACCATCCCATCTCTGGGGCAGCAGGTGCTGC